AAAAAAAAAAAAAAAAAAAAAAAAAAAATTCTTACAGAGACCATTAAAGCAAGCCAATATTAAGCCTTAAGCCAGAAGTTATAATAAAAGGTTAAAGGGTTCTGTTACATCCGTAAGAGTTGCAAAACTATCCATTTTTCCTTCCTAAAAATCAGGATAAAAATTTCTTGTTTCTACATTCAGAACACGAATGTTATGTATCCTGAAAAGGAAAATAAGTATATGTAACATGACAAGTAAAACAGAGATTCTTACATTTCAGATGAGAATGTGTGAACTTAATTTGAGGAATTGTGGTACTCTTCCTTAACCCTTCCCATGCCAGATCTAAGGATCTGCTAACCTCAAAGCTGTCACCCTTTTTTGATAGTTAGAAATTAAAACCTCAGTAGAGAAACTGGCCACAGTTACGTTAGAAATTAAAACCTCAGTAGAGAAACTGGCCACAGTTACGTTTATAATCATTAGATGTTACACTCACCTCACGTAGCCCCCCATTTTCAAATGCCTCTCAAATGCTGAGTCAGCGATAAAGCTTAAGGATCTGAATTCTTATGTATATTAGTTCAATTTTGAACAAAGAATTTAGTAAGCATTTACTATGAGTACTTGTTTTTGCTAGGGATTAAATCCAAGGCCTCATGTTCTACCTCTGAGCTACACCCTCGACCCGTGAGTACTTGTTTAAAATATTGAAAGGTTCAAGTATCGGTGTGTGCTGAAAATAGTAAAATGGATTGCAATTGGATGTGACATACAGATTATAATCTTTTTTTTTTCAAACTGCCTGTCACCTAAACACATCAGTTACAAAATTGTTTTCATTTTCAGATGTGTAGAAAAATGGTACTTAAAAGTTTTTTCATCATTTTGTAAATACACTAGATATAGTCAATTTAATCTCAAGATTTAGACTTTATAATAATATAAAAGTACTGTATATTGAAATTTTTGAATATTAGGAATGATATCAAGATTTGAAAATTAAATGTGAATTTTAGAGACAGCTAGTTTTTCTTAACACTTCATTGGAACTTTCTAGGATTAGGAGAATTCCACAAAGGTTATATGATAGGATAGCTTAACAGATAGTATACCAAAGGCATATCTTTAAAAATCCAGGAGTAGTGGGCCAGGGATTTAGCTCAGTGGTTCCACTGCCTGCCTCACAAGTGCAAGGTCTGTAGTTCAATCCCTGGTACCAAAAAAAAAAAAAAAAAAAAAGTTATTTCTAGAGATGGTTGTTTTGAGTAGTCCACTTATATTTTGAGTAGAATTATTCCTTAATCTGATATTAAAAAGTTTGAAAGATTTCTTGGTGGTAATTAATTTACAAAATGTTTGTGTTCTGAGGTAGTACTCAGATGGGTTGTTTAAAAGGAAAATGTTCTATGTGAGGGATTCTCTGTCTTGTGAGTACTTACAGGAAAACCCACTTGCAGTTAGTTTGAGTTGACATGAAAAGACAAAGTCTAGTATTTCCCTAATCTAAAGCAGATTCTTTTTTATGGAAAATGAGAGGAAAAAGTTATAGATGGATACCTTTGCTGCAATCTTAACAATTAGCTCATATTCTAGGAGAAAGAAGAACCGAAGAATCATTTCACTTTTTTCTTTCATGGCTTTATAAAGCTACTTTTTTGATTCAGTCATCACTTTCAAACTGACTTTGTTTTTTCTTGGTTCATAACAATTTAACTTCAAACTTCTATTTTCCTTTGTAACTTTTAAGGTAGAACTATTCCTCTTGACATTAATTTTTGCCTACACATGTATTTATATGTTGAGACCAAATGAGCAAAATCTCAGGCAGGTAACATTTTTTATGTGTATATATTGGACCAAATGTAAAAGGGTTACAAAGATTAGAAACAGTCATGAAAAACTACTGATTTATAAATGCATTACTTCTAGTGCTCTATAGTAATGGGATATAGTGAACAAAAATTTGTATATACAGTATGTCAGCATTTTGTAGTAACTTCTCTTTAATCTGTTTTTAATCTCTAATATTGTACAGGTTGGGGAGTTATACTCTTCAGGCCAATACTATCCAGACTGTATAAATTTATAAAATAAATTGAAAAATTCATCATTCTCCTGTATTCAAGACCAAAGCACATAATGCTAATGTAAAGCTCAGAGGGGAAATATAGTTCTCCTGCATATTTGAGAAAATGTGAAGTCCTTTCAAGAAAATCTAATAAACATAATAATCATAGCCTGCTGACACCAAGGAAAAAAGATCTCATTCGCTTTTTCTTTCATGCAGCAATTTACTGGTCCCTACTGATTTCCAAATTGGATCACTGTAGTAAATTATCCATGCTGGTACCTGTGAAAGTAAGCCCAGGGATCCATATTTGTTTTGTGTTCTGCTTAAATCAGCAAGAATGATAAATCTGATGGTGTGAAATTGGAAGTATCAAGGGCTTTCTTTGGTGAATGAGCAAAGTAATGTCTCCACTTGTAATTTATTGTGACCCTTTCTCACTGTATGTGTTTTGTATGTCTAATATTTATTTCAATACAAATTAAATTGTTCCTTCATCTATAGTTATATCTAAGATTTTATTGATATAAAAATCAAATTGTATAATAAAAATCTCTGGATTTAAGCAGATTTTAAAATGTTATGTTGAAGAAATAACATTTACAGTTCGAATTCACCTTTCTTTTGAGCCTAATTGTTAGAATAAGGTGAATGTGAACACTTCTAGTCTCAGCCCATTACAAATAATAGAAACGCTGTGACTTTGGAGGACTCATGTAAAACTGGAAAACGGGTCAGTGAGTAAAAAGAAAAGTTACATTTGATGTACAGCTGTTTGCTTGCTTCTGTACTTTTTTTGTCTAAATTTATAGCCTACTAGATATATTTATAAGCTTAAAATCGTTTACAATATACAGTATATCCAAAGTCATTAGTCAACAGGATAACCTAGAGGAGGATAAGAGAGATACACACATTCTTGATTCGTAATGCACTTTGCTTCAGCACATGGGAATACTTGGAGCTGTTTGTAACATGATTCTGAGCTTTGGGAAGAGGGAGATCATGGAACTCTTCCAAGAAGTGATAGATCTTTGCGAATAGCTGTTGTTTCATCCAGAATCTTTGGTAAATGCCTGTAATCCCATTATTTGGAAAGCTGCGGCAGCCTTGACCAAGGCTGTTTACTCCTGATCTCATTGTTGTCTCCATCTGAAAGCCACAATACTGCAGGAGCCCTCTCAAAATTAATGAAAATGAAATCAATTGGTCAATTAACTAAACCTGTTGATTCCTTGTGATTATTTCTAATGTGAAATGGTTGTATATGATTGCATTAAAAATCACTGTTGTTTAGACAATTAACTACCTGTTGATTCCTTGTGATTATTTCTAATGTGAAATGGTTGTATATGATTGCATTAAAAATCACTGTTGTTTAGAGGTTAGAAAGGGAAAACTAAATCTTCTAAACGCTACTTGAGATTGAAAGAACATACATTTTCTAACCTGTAAGTTGAAATGCCACATTTGCTTTCTTCAGTAGAATATGTTGTTTTTAATTGTAATGTCAAGTTTTGCATGTTAAATAGGTCCAAAAAGAAAATCATTTTTGTTGCATGTTCTGGCTTACTGCTCCTGTAATTGCAATCCTATAAATGCTTATTAAAGTTTTTTGCTTTTACATGGTAAAAAAAAAAAAAAAAAGTTCAGCCTGGTGCTGCTGAACTAAATCCCCAGCCCAGAAAATCTCTTTCTCCTCCCCTTTTAGGCCACTAATCCTACTGGCATAGGACACTATTATGACCTCATTTATCCTTAATTACCTACTCAGATTCCTAAATACATTCATAATTTGGGTTAACTCAGGCTTTAATATG